ATTTAACATTTTTCAGTGAAAGCATACACAATAGATATTCAACAAAAGATAGTAGCAAAGGATCCAACATGGGTTATTGATTCTTATTACGAAGCAATCGTTGCGAAACGGCCAAAACTTTTGTACCGAGTTGGCTGGGATGTCTTATTCCTGTAACTATTGCACTTACAGTAAGAAAAATAGTGAAAGTCATAGCAATAATAGTTAAGTACAAGATATAAGTACAAAGTTTGATTTAGTTTTAATGCAGTTAGACTTCTGATTCCACCTGAGAGGCCTGAAATCTAATATTCAAAATGATCATTTTTATTATTTTCCTCTTGCAGATCTTATCCCTATTCATTCCTTCCATTGCGCCTGCAACTTTATTTCATGAAGTTTTTCATGAAATTGAATGGAGCACCATTACCAGCAATAACGACGAAGAATGCACGTCCAGCGATTCCGAAATGGAAAAGCAAAGACAATTAACCTGGCAGACTTAAAAATAAGTTATTTTGCGTGCCAGCACATAGTTTACGTCATTTTCTGTAATTCTACGTCATTTTTTTCAAGTCTCTTCCAATGAAAATTTCAATTTTATTAATTTTAATATGAAATGTACTTTTTCATAAATAATTACACTGAATGGTTCCTCTCTGTCACTTCGTTTCAAACTTGTGCTGAGTTAAAAACTTTATTTATTATGAGAAACAAATTGAAGAAGAATTTTCGTCCTTTGTTCTCTGAAGTTTCAAGCTATTTATTGATTAATAAAATTCAGTTTTATTCATATTTCATAGTTCATGATGTTTTATGCAAAATAAATGACAGACATTGCGGAATAGTTCATAATGTTTTATGCAAAATAAATGACAAACATTGCGGAGGTATAAACCAAAGTGGTATCCATAATGAAGATCTCAAAGTAGGATTCATATAGATTATATTCGATCTATTGAAGCGTAAATATAAGAAGAATATAAGCATAGCGGAAAATATCCAGGCGTAAACTTTGAGGGGACTATGATGAAGTCTTAGGCATAACATAGCAGTGAAACATCCCTGGAAACATCCATCCATAGAAATTGCAATAAAACAAAACACAATAAAGGATCCCACGGACGGCACAAAAAGAAAACCAAACACCTACTAAGCCTCACAAACATCGTCCTTCCCTGGGTGCACATAATGAAAACCACCCCTATCACGAACAGGACACTTAACAGGAACCAACCTCCACTGAACTCTTCGGCCACCAAAACCCCTACAACACTCCTTAGGCCAAAATTTCCTTTCCGAATCACCTAGTCACAAAATAGCCATCAATACAAAGTAATAGCAACCTGCATCATACCACGACAACTCCCCGGGTATTTGTTGGTGGTGATGATTATCGCTTTGCTGTTGAATTTTTGGAAACCGCCTTTGGTTTGGACTTGGTATGGCTTGGAGTCGGCGAGATTGAATATTTCGTTTGGCGACATCCATCCATAGAAGTCGTCTATTATTGCTAGTTCTTGTTGGGAGTAACCGTCCCACCATTTTTGCATATTACTTGTTTTTATGAAACAGTTTTTTGAGGGTTTTGGTGGTCGAAGAGTTCAGTGGAGGTTGGTTCCTGTTAAGCGTCCTGTTCGTGATAGGGGTGGTTTTCATTATGTGCACCCAGGGAAGGATGATGTTTGTGAGGCTTAGTAGGTGTTTGGTTTTCTTTTTGTGCCATCCGTGGGATCCTTTATTGTGTTGCGGGGCGGAGCCCCGCGTGCTTTATGTTTTGTGTTGTTCAATTTTTCGAAATAAAGTTTTATTGTTATAAATTGTGTTACAAACAAAATGAAATACTATTTGTTATGCATTTGATCCAAATTGGTAGTTGAAATATGACGTTTCGTAGTTGGAGAATCGAATCCATGTTAAAGTGACGCGTCGGTCGAAGGCCTTTATATTGAATTTGTTTGTTATTTCGGGTTTCCACCATTGCTCCGGGTATTTGTTGGTGGTGATGACTATCGCTTTACTGTTGAATTTTTGGAAACCGCCTTTGGTTTGGACTTGATATGGCCATCTGTCTATACCAATACAAAGTAATAGCAACCTGCATCATACCACGATAACTCCCACAATCAGTAACATAAGAAAGCGAAATGATAGGATTATCAGGAGCATGCAAATGGAAATCATTTAAAAAAGACATCCGAAGCCATATTCTTCTTGTAGTTGTTGACGTAACCGAAAACATTCTCGTCTGCGAAACTTCGTCACGATCAGGAGAACCACCAAGCCGAATGCGAACAACACCAGGATTGCAATCAGCACACATCGATAACCAAACAACAGCACCATGCACTTTTATCGGACAGTTGTTCGGTAAGTTGAAAGACGATGCGACGACTTGATAATGGGACGATCCGTTCCGCAAAGCAAAACATCCCGTCGCCTGCGAGATCTCACGAGCCAACCGAGGCAAAACCTCCGACGAAAACGACGACGGTGAACAAAACCACGACGCTTGAACACCCGCCATCGCACCGACGGCACAAAAAGAAAACCAAACACCTACTAAGCCTCACAAACATCATCCTTCCCTTGAAAAAATAATGAAAAACATAATGAAAACCACCCCTATCACGAACAGGACGCTTAACAGGAACAACCTCCACTGAACTCTTCGGCCACCAAAACCCCTACAACACTCCTTAGGCCAAAATTTCCTTTCCGAATCACCTAGTCACAAAATAGCCATCTGTCTATACCAATACAAAGTAATAGCAACCTACATCATACCACGATAACTCCCACAATCAGTAACATAAGAAAGCGAAATGATAGGATTATCAAGAGCATACAAATGGAAATCATTTAAAAAAGACATCCGGAGCCATATTCTTCTTGTAGTTGTTGACGTAACCGAAAACATCCTCGTCTGCGAAACTTCGCCACGATCAGGAGAACCACCAAGCTGAATACGAACAACACCAGGATTGCAATCAGCACACATCAATAACCAAACAACAGCACCATGCAGGTAATTCAATCATAATACAAATAATCACCCCTTTTAGTGTTTTCTTGTTTATCAGCTTGATTCAAAATCTGACTTTCAGAAAACAGAAAAAGTATTTTCAGCAAGGAAAAGTAATAAAGAAGGACAGCAGGAGGAGCCACCAACTGATTTCCAGTTTTCAATTAACTCATTTGTTTCCGCAATTTCTTTCACTAAAACTTCAAGCATTGCCATTTGTGTTTTATTGCTCACCGCCAGCAGTTTGAAACATTCTCTTTCTGTATTTACAATGAAAGCATGAATTTTTTATTGAAATGAAACCCATAAAGAATGCAAAAGTAATTTCTTCATTTAATCATTCACAATACCTATCTCATTCGAAATACCTTCCTTACCTTTTAAGGTGTTTCATCTGTTTCGAAGTATTTATAAACTCGAACGGTTTTTCGCGACATTAATAGAAGATGTTTTTATCTACAATTCTATTTATTGTATTACCACTGCTGCTGTATGCTATTTACGAATTACTGGGCCGTAAATTGACAATTGGTGAAATTGACAGGAAAGCGGTACTGATCACTGGATGTGGAAGCGGTGAGATTGACAAAAACACTTTTGTGAAAGGAAAATGATTTAGAGCGTTTCAAAATATGGCAGCGAAGAATGGTGATTTAAAAATCCTAATTGATAATATATAAGGCATAAATGATTTCCAGGGTTTGGTCGAGATTTGGTGAAACGATGTCTTCAGAACGGATTGACAGTATTTGCTGGATGTCAGTTTAAAAGTGTAGGCTCCTAATTAATATAAAGTTTATAAGTTTTTGCAAATAATTTGTTGGTGCAAATTTC